ATGTAGGATTATAGCTAAAGTGTCAGAGGATGGTAAGAATTATTGGAAATACATTTTCAATTTAGGAAAATGTTAATTTTCATATGCTGTTGATGGTAGGTCTACTGGAAACAGCTAATGGGCTCCTGCTGCTTTGATCTATTGTTTTTGATGGGAAGATTACTGCTTTAGTGAATACAAAGTAAAGCAATATAACCACAAAATTAAAAGAAAATGGATGTTAAAAGGTTAACAGTTGAAAGTGTTAAGTGATTTGAAAGTTTATGATCAATACTTCAGTCAGTAAAGCGAAATAAATGATGTTACTCATTTTATTTCATATTTTTCAACTTTTCATTTCAATGCATATTGATAATTTATCTACAATTAGTGTTAAGGTAGATAAAAAGAAAGAGAGAGAGAGAAACTTTATAAAAAAAAATATATTTGTTTACAACAGACTTGATGCTTACTAAAGGCTTGTCAAATTTTTTGAGATACACTTACTATACATACAGAGGTATAATGTGCATATTTTTTGAAGTATGGGCTGGGTAAAATTGACCCACTTTGTATTTATAGAGTTAATATGTTTAAGTTGTTAGTCTGGTGATTAGGACACTTGGCTTGCAATCTATGGGTCATGGGATTGAATCCAGTCCAAGAATGTTCTTGCCTTTTCAGCCGTGGGCGTGATATAATGTGATGGTAAATCCTACTATTCAAACAGAGCAGTTGAAGAGTTGGTTGTGGGTGATGTTGACTAGCTGCCTTCCATTTAGTATATCACCTCTAGATTAGGGATGGCTAGTGGAAATAGCTCTCGAGTAGCTTTGCACAAAACTTAACAAACAAATGTTTCAACCGCATGTTTAATGAGTTCTCAAGAAGAACTGCAATATATTTAAAAATATAATCGAAAACATGAAAACCTAAAAGGGAAGTAAATGATGACACATTTTTATAAACACAACTACATTTCATCCTTACAGAATTAAAAAGAAAAACAAACATTCATTATATTATATTCAGATATAAAATGATTTTTATATAGGTGTTCTGTGTTTTTCTTAGTTAACATCCTTGTATAGAGGATGTGAAAGGCTATAAACTTGAAATAATCCTTTGTCTTAGACAAAAATAAACATCTCTCCATTTTTTACTTTTTCACCAATTAGTAAAGAGCACTGATTTAGTGGTCACGAAATTAATATCAAAGTATAAAGCTTCCAATTGTTTCCTCGAATGGATACTATTAACTTATTGATATTGGTAACTGGTAATGAAACAAAGTAATCTTTAACAGTTCACCCTGGCTGACTGTCATTACACAATACGCATGATGTGCAGGCAATATTTGTACATGACGATGACACCTAGGTTGTACATATGGACATTACGACACCTATAGCCGCCTTTTATTGTAACAGACATTGAGAGATTACAAGAGTGTGTCTGCGCTATCAGAAAAGTTAGCACAATTAATGGGCTGAGCTTACCTCAAAAATTTCAGTAACAAAACTTTGATAATTCCACATTAAGATTAGTGTGTGAGTTTCTCACTTAAATTGCAGTGAAGTGAAACAACGACTTTTTTGGCAACAATCGCTGCATCCTAATACCTCGAATTATGACAAGCAGCAGCTAGCTACAGTTGAAACAAGTTAAACTAGTTATACAAAAAATGTAGAAACTTTTGGAAGATCATATTTATATTGATACAATAATTTACAGTATTTACTATTACAAATCACACAGTCATCAGGTTTGAAAGTTTCCTGTGAGTGATAGGCCTCATTTCTGTCCTAGAATGTTGATCGTTGGATGCTACAAAATTGTGATAATCACGAACCGACTGCATGTAGTGAATCAAACAATAATCATTTGACAAAGAAAAATTTAAAATGGACTATTTAAATTTTCTTGTTTACTTAATTGATTTTTTTTTGTCTCCTATATTCATTATTGTCAATGGAAGAGGTCAAAGTTAGTATGGTATGAGCAAATTTTGAGAGTATAATGAACAGTTGAATAATTTGATTTATAAGGTGCTTGAGGATTTTTAAACATTGTTAAACTTAAAGATCAATGACTTACTAATCAATGTTGCTGACCCGCCACTAGAATTTAATCTGAGTCTCTATCACTATGATTGCTTCCACTTTCATCTTCACTTTGTGTTGTGACTTTTTTGCCTACTATTTTCTCTTAAAAATAATAGTGTTTGTACAGCTCTGTTTACATTACCTGCTGTTGTTGGAGGGTATTATCAGATGATAATACTGTCCTAACTGATGTTGCAGAAAATGCAGGTGGGTCAATGACAAGCTTTGGCTTCAGCTGCTTTGGGTAATTTAAATAAGAGCAGCAGTTCTCAATCTGTGGTCCAGTGTTCTGCAGGCTGCCTTCATGTCGTCCATGGAAAGGATGCATAATTATGAACAAAAGTGGCTGTAAATAAAAACTTCAAAATCACTGAACTAGAGGATCCTGAATTTAACCTGGCTATCAATTAGGCTGGTGTAGCATTCAGCTTGCTCACACTATTATGTAAGTTTGATTTTGACATCTGGGCTATGGTGAACAGGGAGCTGCATTTCTGATAATCTCTTGAAATTCTTGTTTTTAAGAAAAATGTGCTTCTTGTCTCTAATCTTGGTGTAGGATTGGTACATTAGTGATAGACCTGTTAAGGAAATTCTCATCCAATTTCACTTTTGTAACAGCTGAACTGCAGTTCCACAGGAGCAAAATCCACCCAGCCCTCATCAGATGATGACTGATTGGGTACCGTAACAATCACATGGATACTGTGTGTCTTTGTGACTTCTTAGTTGGTTAACTACATCAGGTACAGTTTGTTCATTCACACACACCCTCGGTCATATGACTCATGATTGTTCACAGTCTTTTCTTGTTCTTTGAACAGTGCAAACTACATTTTGTTAAGTATTCACAGAAAGGCACATACAGACTCTTTAATTCTAATTTGAAATGATACAGTAAAACACTATCACTTTTTTAATTTTATCTATTCATTTTTTATAGATTATAAAATTATATTTATTGGTTCACTTGATAAAATAAAAATCATCTTATCAAAAAGGAATATGACTAAATCTGAAAATAATACCTAAGAGTTAATAGGGACCACATATGAAAGTTGTACGTATGTCTGTAAACCAGTTCAGGATAACAATGTACCAGGTGTGGTTTCCATTCTTCTTGTGTAGTGCATTTATTTTGCATGTGAATGATATGTAGATGAAGTTGGAGTGAAATTGTCTTCATATTTTATCTTGTTGAGTTGTATTGTGAAGGTGATTTTTGTGAGTTCTCAAAGACTTTTAAAAATGATGAGCTCATAGTGAATATTCAATCTTTTCTAATGACAGTGATGAGTGAACCTTTTGGATTGAAGGATATACCAAGTTTTATTAATGTTTTATATCACATTAGTACGAGATTACCCACGTTACTGTAGGTTGATAGGTGTGGAGTCATTTGTCTGCATTTTCTTTTATGCAAATTGTCTGTTAGTTTTTTATCATTGATTGTTAGTATTGTTCCAATTTCTTCATTAAGTTTTAAGCCCTCACACAAAACTGTCAGTCATCTTACACCTTCGACCACAAAATCTCTCAAACTAAAAAAAGTTTTTCTTTAATTGAATTTAGTCATTGAGAGGGAAAGAATGAAAAGGCCCATCACCAGTTAAGTACTCAATGCCACCATCCTGGTCAACAGCTAGACCCCCAGCATGCTGGCAGTAACACTGACATCATGCCCCAAACACCTGGATCTCTACAGTACTGCCAAATACACTGAAACTAGGGTTCTGATGTAGCATGAGGTAGACAGGCAATGGGAATGACCCAACACTTAGGAACAAATTAAGTTTCACCTAAAAATACTATTAGAAAGCAGACTTTTCTGAGGTTTGCAGTAGACCAAAGAATAGTTAAAGAAAATGAATTCCAGAAATTACTACTATTCAAGTTAATCCTATAATTAAGCTTGTAATGCTTCATTTTAAGGTTTGGATCTAGGTGAGGGACAGTTGTTGCCATCAACCACTACTATATTTCACTTTTCCTTAACTAGAAAAGAATGTCTTCATTCAGGTATATTAATTTTGTAAAGTTTGGTTATAGGTACTTAGTTGATGTTCTCATAAACAGATTATGAAAGTTTGTAAGCTCACTGTAATCTTTTCTTAAAGATTACATACTACAGTGGTCAGGTCACTTATTAATTGCTCTGCTTGACAATGTTTCTGTATTGTCACTTTTTAGGGTGCAAGTTGTCTCAAATAGAAGGGTGATGGTACAGTCCTTTCTCTGTGCTGTCTTTTATTTTTTCCTGCTCTAGCAGCCAGAAATTCTGTAAAAGACCATTGAAACTTGCCAGTGTAGTATGAGCCCACCACACTTATCTCTAAGAATATAGATTTTGTAATTCATTTACTTGCATTTGCTTCATTCTTTGTATCAACATACTACAGTTTAGCAGGGAATTTCTTGGCCATAACCAAAGAGGTCTCATCAATGCATACCAAAAGGGCTTGTATCTAGTTGTATTATTTTGCTCACATTAAGTTTTCTGTTTATTATTTTAGATTTCATTTTTTATTTTCTTCTTTCAAGATAAACTCCCACTTTCTGATTCTTCAGGCTAGTGCTAAAACTTCATTTTATTTTCTGGAGTAGCTTTTAGATATTACAAAATAAGTTGTCAAAGCTGTGTTAAAATTTCTCATGTTTAACATTTTTATAGACATTATCTTTGAAAGACACAACATAATGTTGTGAAACAGAAAATTCTTGTTTAATGAAAGACACTATATCCATGATTTTTGTGTTGTTAAAAATATGACTTTCCATATTTCTAATTTCCGTAACACATGGTGAAGTAATAAAACAATTTTATTCTTTTGTTTTTTTATTTGTAAGGCACAAACTTTTTAAATTGATAAATGTAGTTTTAATGATATAAGTTGATGTGATTTGTTTTTTATACAGAGGCTCAAACCAAACCACTCTTGCGCACTACTATACCACATACTCCTAAGTTACAATGTGTCGCACGTCATCGTCCAGTTACAGCAATAAGCCAAGCCCAAAAGGAAGAATTAGAAGAAGAGGAAATGAAAAAGTGAGTATAATTGAAAAAAAAATTAGTATATTAATATTTCTTTTAAAAATGATTAATTCTGATACGATACCTTACCTCCTATCACATAATAGCCTTTCTCAACTTATGATGCCCTCTGTATGCACAATTTTTGCTTGCCACTTGCCTTGATGCTCCCTACCTACCTACCCTCTACCAATAGGAGTGTGACACACCTTCCAAGTGCAGCTGGGTCCTTCTATACTGTATAGCTCTATCATCGCTGCTTGATTTGGCATTCCAGTGTGCATTTTCAGTTAATTCTAATTTGTTTTGATAACATTTAGTTTGTTGTCATATGTTTGTGGAATATTTTCTTTTTCATTTCCACAATTTTACTACGATACCTTCCTTCTCTCATGGATCCAGCTACTACTGATCCACCAATTACTACTTCTATGGCTTTGGGCTCCATTTTTTGCAGAGGAGGTTTCAGCCATGGTGTATTAGAAGTTGTAAACTATCTTGCAGTCTGCTACATTTCAGAACCTTAGCTGGATCTCCCATTTCCGGGAATTTCTGGTCTTAACAAAGAGGATTTGGACAGCCTTTGCTGCATTGTCCAGTGCTACCCCTCTGGATTTCTTTCATTCTTCTCTTGGCTTTTTTGGACATGATTTCCTAGATATGTTACCTATTCTCTCTCTTCCATCCACCTCCTTTCTGAGGCTATCCACTGTTCTCCTGAGGGGTTTTCAGTGGATTCTTGTACCCTTCTCTTTTTTTCGTTGTTGCACTTTTTTTCTTTAGCCATATCCCTTCATACGTTTCTTCTTTGTTGCTGAGATCTCCTTGGCAAGGACATCCTCTTGTCTTATGTGCATCTACAGGTTGGGTGAAGAGTATTCTCTGCTACACTATGCAACCCCCAGCCTCGTGAAAGTTGCAACCCATGGGCTTTTCCTTTCTGCCCCTTGTTAAGAAGGAGCTTATTTTGTAATTGGTCTACATTGGCTCATCCATCATTTTCAATGTGAGGTTCTAGCTTTTAGTAGTGCAGAGGTAGGTAGTATTTCTGAAGTTAACATTTTCCGTATCTGAAAATGTATTTCAGAAAAAAAATATCTACTTCTCTGCATCATCTTCCCATCCTTCCTTTCCACTTCAAGTGCATTTTCTTTGTTTTGTCAAGAATGAGCCTTTGATCATGTGCTAGTGCTCAAGAAGATTACTGGACATAGAAGTTGTGTTGTCTTCCTATTAGTGGAGGGCTAAAACATATCAATGTTTAAGTGATCAGCTGGTGCAACATGCATAGACACGTGTAGGGGTGGAAAGTTGTTGAAGGCTTGTGATTTGCACAGGAAATTCCACAGTGGTTGCATGTCAGGTGATAGCTCTTAGTGTTGCAGAAAGGTAGGTATCTATCTGAAAGATATTTTCAGGTAAGGATAATGTTAACTTCCATTATTTTCCCTTTAAAATCCATGAATTGGGTTATACTGAGATTTCCTATGCTGTAATATCAGTTATGAATTTCGTTTAATGTTCTTGTTCTTAATAGCATTATTATCGAAGCACCTTGTCCTTTTAGAAAATATTTTAGAGAAAATGATGGGAAACCTGATAACATAAACTTATTTCCTTATCAGGTATAAATTTAAAGCAAGACCAGTGAACTCCAAGCTATTTACACAGCCAGTGTCAGGTGTTAGTAAGGTGGAGACCAAAAAGTCCACAAAACCTGAGGGTTTCCAGCTACAGACTGAGGCACGCTACTACTTGAGGGAAAAAAATCGACCCCACATTGAAGAACCAAAATACGAGTTTCATGCCCAGCCTCTTCCAAGAAAAATATTGGAAGGAACAGTGGTAAATATTTCATATTCTTTTTCTGTAACTTTAATAATAACAAAAACATTTATGATGTAGTGTATGTAAAGGAATATTAACTGAAAACTAATGTTATGCTAAAATTTATTACAAAAAAAGTTATAGAAAATTTAGGATTTTTACACTTCACGTACCTACTTGAAGTATGTGCTAAGTGTTGATTTGTTGTCGTGATGTAAGCTCCATAGTCAATCAGGTACAAATTGACTTTTTATCTTATTGGCAAGTTGAAATTTGTTTAATAAATATTATGTGGTTTTGGATACATGCTAGAAACGCTTAGCTCCAATCAAAGCACAGTGATTAGAAGAAAAGTATAAGGTTTTATTGCTTGTTATTAACCCATTACTTACCAGTGTTTCATTTTTGTACAGTTAATTGCTTTTAATCGTTTTATTTTACAAGCTCATTTTAGTTTAACTATTGATCATTTGTCTTGATAATTGACTTTTATTTAACCCTTTCTCCTCGAGCATCTTTTTCTGAGCGTGTCAGAAAGTTTTAATTAGTTACATTCAAAATTTAAGTAAACTACTTTCTTTTCATGGTCTACCAATAAATATGGCAGAAAAAGGTAGCTAATAATCCATATTTTAATAGTGTACAAGTTTTAAGTTCTTATTTTTATAAGGCAATATTTAAAAAAAATTCTGAATTTACCCTAGTTGGATAATTGACATTTTGTCTCTAGGCGTTCTCTCTAATTTATATACCACCCTTTCAAGAAGTACGAAATTTAATGTAAATTACTTATTATAATATTGCCATTGCTCAGGCAAAGCATAATTTATATAGCTTTCAATCTTATATAGTTACAGAGCCATGAAATAGACAATTAGACCCCTTTTGCCACACCCACCTATCACATATTATCTTTCAGAAATTGCCAATAGTTCTTTCTGATGTTCAATACCATATAACCTATAACCAATAAAAAGCTAAAGTTCTCATATGTCAATTACATTTTCAGTTCAAGCTATATTCCCATGGGAAATGCATCAACAAGCTTAGGTGAAATTTTAATGGCTCTTGTTGCATTGTTAGAATGGCCAGAAAATGTTATTATTCTGTGTTTATCGGTGCATTATTAACTTAAATAAAAAATTATACAGTGCAGAATTACCATTAGTATAAAAAAAGTAGGGTCAAGTGTCATCAGCAATAAGAAAAATAGAAGACCCAGGTAAGTACTTTATTTGTTGTTTTTCATGTGTATTCTTTGTTTGGTACTATATGAATAACTAAAATGTAACTCTAGAAAAGTGTTTAGGTTAGTTAAGATTAGATTAGATGAAATAAATAATAATAGTATAATAATAATTTTTCATGGGGTATGCTCTCAGGTAGCTCGTGCGTAATGTAATTTGATTGTGTAATGTGAACTGTAAGTTTGCCAAGTGATTTACAACTTATAATGGCATGAATAATAGTTAAATATGGTTCAAATGTCAATAAAATTTAAGTACAAATATATTGTTATGAGTTTAAAGCTATTTAGTATAAACAAAGTGGTTTCATGGTACAATTTGAAGTCATTCTAGAAAGAAAAAAAGGTAATTTAGATATGTTTTTTGCTGGTTATGAGGTCAGTCAAATTGACCAAACTTGTAAGGAGCTAGAGTGAAAAAAAATAACAGATAAGATATAAAGTTCCACTGAAAAAAGAACATTTGAAATTTGAGACAAAGAAAAGTATTTTAAATCTTAATGTAGAAATCACTTTGCACTTGGACTAGTAAAAAAATACTATATATATATGTTCACAGACAAATTTTTAGTGAAAATACTTCATTAAAAAATCTGATTTTTTGTGTACAAAAGACTTGTACAGACTTTGTGTAATGTTTTCTGAAAATCTGCCAAATTTTGTAAAGATACCTACTGTATTAAAGTTATAATATGGAAACTATAACTATTGGTCATTCATAGGCTTGCCACATATTTTCATTACTACCTTTTAAAAAGGATATGCAAAAACTAAAACTGTCTTTGTATTTTTGTCTCTTTGTATTTTTAAAAGAAATTTTGTGAATGAAACAAATGGACAAACATATATGGTACCTGGATAATTCAACAAGTAAGGTCACTGCCTGTTACATTGATTCAGTTTTCATGGGGCAAGCAGTAGTTTACTTGTCACATTTTAATATGCTGACAGATTAGTTTGATTTGGAGAATTTGGTGCATATCTCAGTAGATGGACCCAATATGAACCTTGTGTTTTACATTAAATACACAATACTTTCTGAGCTGGCTTTATTGCCATTAGTTGATATCCAGAAAAAGTTTACAAGCTTTCTTCTGAATATATAAGGATTCACCTGGTTGATGGGATGATATTTTCAACATGTTCTAAAGTTTTATGCCCATCGTTGGATAGAAAACATTACTTTAGTAACAAAGAATTAGGATAGTTTTACTTGATATAATGGTATTTGTAAAAAAAGATTCAGGAGGAAAGAAATTTGTCACTTCAAAATGCCAAAAATTTGAGGTTACTGATGAGGTATGTTGTAAAGTGCTTTTTTGTGGACAATAATAAGGGGCTGATATTTTAAAAAGTACTAAACAGTTGAACCTATGATTACTGAATAAAAATGCTACATGTATCATGAAAGGACACGGTTATACTTGCAAAGTATGGAGTCAAGGATAAAGATTTATTTAATTGTACAAAGTCATTGTTGGCTTTTTAGCTGACAAAGTACTCTAAGCACCATTAGCAAAAAAAGAAAAGTCAATGAGACGGTCATATTTAGAATTGTGTATAGGAAATGTGCGGATCACTTATTGAAGAAGGTACTTTGTAAATCTCCCATTAGACTGAGTGTGGTGTGAAATTATACTTTCTTTAAACCATCAGAAATGGCCAAGGGACAGAGGAGTCTATAGGATGTTGAAGGGACTTTGACATTTTGTAAAGTTTAAATGTTTTCTAAAACAGAAATTCGATCATGTCCAGGACACAATTCAAGAACTTCCTGAAGGACAGAATCAAGATATAATAATAGGAAGGTGAAATTGGATAAATATTTTGATGAACAACTGGAATGAAATGAGAAATGTTTAGAACTATGATCTGTAGTACAGCTGGTGTTGCTTCTGTCCCATTGAAAGGCTACTGTTGAGAGAGGCTTTTGATTCAATAAAGATTTGACTGCTGCAAACAAGAACATCTAAACATTGCAAACAATAATTCAAGGTGCCATAGCTAAAGCTGGAGGTATAGTAAAAGTAACTGTTACGTATCTGCTCATATGTTAATTTCCAGTATAAATTCTTACCGAGGAACTTCGTTATAACACACGCTATAAATCACAGTGATTCACACACTTTACTTACGGTGCCTACTGTTCGCTTGACTCAATTATCTCTATCTTCAATCTATCTATATCTCTTCAATCGTGCTGGTTTTTCTCGCCAGGCTTATATACTAAAAAAGAGGGTGCCTCAAACAAATTAGAGTTGCCAGGAAAATTCATGATCCTTTGAGAAACTCCAGCACGCATGCTTCCAGCATTGTGTGACTTCTGCTGTCATGACATAACACTCCAAGTATAATATTTTATGCAAAAGTTTTGAGGCAAAAGTACAAGCAGTATTTGCAGGCTCAGTGAAAACTTGAAAGGCACCAGACAAACAAAAGAGCTATGACCAGGACTTAATAGAACTGAATGAGAGAAAGAAAAAAGGCTTTGCAAGGATAATTCATTTTCAGAAGGAAGTCTTCTAGGCTGCAGATTTAGCTGAAAAATCATCTATAATTGAATGGATCCTCAAATTTAATAGTTTTAGGAGGTCTCTGAAGGAAGTAAAGAGAGTAATACAAAAAACAAATTGATAAAAATGCTCATTCTAGAACAATATCAGCATTATCTTTTCTCTCAAAAGGTGCAAATTATTTTAATTTACAATTAGAAATCACTAATTAGAGTAAGAAAAATTTAAGTTTTCCTTCATTATTTTTAAATAAATCGGTTTACTTTGTACTAATTGGAGGAAGTTGTTTTGGCTAGGCGGCACATTGGACACAGTTTTTTAACCCGTCATTTTCTTTTATGTTGGACTGATCCACCAATGTGTGACCTTTGTGACACTCATCACAATTGCCCATGTTTTACTCTTGTGCTGTTACAAATGTGAGTGGTGGCACCATTTTTGACATATATTTTCTAACGGGTTTATCCCTGATGTTGGATGGGGTCGTCGACAATGGTGACACTGTCCGAGTTGATTGTGTTTTTTGTGGGCCATTGACCTTTTTACTTTTATTTAGTTTTTTACATAATTTTTGGACATTGTTTAGCTTTTAACATGTTTTCTTTTTACATTTTATTGTGTATTACTTGTGGCATTTTTATTGGTTGTTTGGCGCAAATAGCCTAGTTGCTTTGTGCCAAAAAATTCCAAACATCCAGTATTTAACATTAATATGATGCTAAGTTTTTTTTTACATTAACTTGTTTGAAAGGTTCCCCTGATACAGTGGATAGCCTGATGTGGCTTTGCTATAAAACATTCTCACTTGTTTGAAAGGTTAATAATTTTATTACAAAAAATGGACTTTTTAATTTATGAAAAATTGGAATCCCACTTTTCTGTCAAAACAGTTGGAACGAACGTAGAATCCACAGTAAGTAACTTGTACATATTATGATGAACAGGAATATATCCTGAGTTCTTTGCTATTTTTTTTTTACATTTAAATCATTATTACTGCTACTCATTGTGTTCTCCTATGTGCTAAAATCCCAAGCAAGACCAATCCTCTGGTATGATTTAAACTAGTAGAGTAAAATTTTGTAACATTTAATTTGTTCTTGTCCTTTATTTAAAATTTATTGCAGCAAAGTTTGTTTTCTACCAAATATTGTAATGGATTTTGATGTCATAATTATTAACAAATCTTAAAAATCTTAAGTAAATGAAATACCTTAGTAAAGTTTTAATGTCTATTGATTTAGTGGTAATGAGATTTAAAGAGTGATCTTTATATTGCAGGGTCTAAAAGAAAGAGAGGAATTTCAGCTTACCCTACCAAAATCTCCAGCTTTTGCTCTAAAAGGAAGATCTCAACTCTGGAAGAAAGGAGAAGATACTACTCATGAGGTTTTTTATTTGATTTGTTATAGAAATGCGATCACATTGTTTAATCAGTGTGTTGTGTGTACTGATCAGTGTAAATGTTTTTTATTATTATAATGTATTTACAAGAGCACAACTGTTAGGATACTAGTTAAGAAGTTCTCAATGTAGCTAACATACTAATCCTGTTGTTAAATACTTGGGTGCACAATAATTAAACATTGTTTTAAATGGAAAGATATATTAGTTTGTGATGTGTGGTAGAACTCTAGTAGTTGTATGCCCATGAATTTTTAAAACTAAATATCTACTGATATGTTTATTTTATTCATTGTAACAGTACATAAGATTTACTGAATATAATACCCATGACAAATGAAACTAGGTAGAAATATAATCACTGATCAGTTGGAGGTTTTATTAATTAAAAAGAATGATGCAAGTTTTTGTTGATGTTTTCTTTTTCAGGAAGGAAGTCAATCTTTATCAATGTTAAGGTCTAATCCAGTACCACATATTGGCATCCCATTCCGACCTAAGCTTCAGAAGAAGATCACACTAGCTGAACCTTTTAGTTTTGAAACAAGAGATAAAGAACGTTGGGCTCGAAAGGAAGAGAAAATTAAGGAGGAGCTGGAGAAGGAAAAGAAAGTGTGTTTACAGATTTGTCCATTTCTGCTTTTACCATATTTTACCTTATATTCATTTTGTTTAAATTCTATGAATTTAACTTTTACTTGGTATAATGTTATAATTCAAAGGGATTAACAAAGGGTTCATAAAAAAAAAATATTGTGTGTAGAAGTATTATCTTATTGTTCCCCAGTTTAACTTGGTCTACTAAAACTGATAAATGTCAGTAATATGAATATATGATGCTTTATTTTGAAGTGTTTCCTATTTGTTCAGCTAACGGTGAATACACATAATATACTTCATGTATGACTTTATTTGTCTAATCTTAATGGAAAATGAAGTGTAAAATATTAGAATTCTTATTGTGATGTCCTTGATTGTATTAATAACCATTTGTTAGAGTCTTTGTGGTGACGTTTATATTTTTCTTTAAATTTATTTAGTAAAAGGTTTTTCATGTTATGTAAAGGAAGTGAATATAACAAGCAATGGTCTTTTTAGTCCATGGTAGACATCAGGTTGTTGTAGAGAATTCTACCTTATATTTTGTTTTGTAGATCCGAGAATTTAAAGCCCAACCATTTCCATCTTCCTCTACGAGTCATTTTCAACCCATTACAAAGAAAGTTATTACCAAGCCTGAACCATTCTCACTACTGATAGATCAGCGAGGAGAGGAACGAGCTGCAAGATGGCAGAAAAGGGTAAAAACATTTGTGACAAATTAAAAAAAAAAGATGAAGAAAGCGTCATTCTTAAAACTTGAGTCTTTGTAAAGACTGATATGTTTATTTTATTCATTGTAACAGTACATAAGATTTACTGAATATAATACCCATGACAAAAGAAACTGGGTAGAAATATAATCACTGATCAGTTGGAGGATTTATTAATTAAAAAGAATGATGAATCTTTTTTTTTTATATCTTATATACTAGGATTTCTGGGTTTTTTTTCCTATGTTAAAAGAAATTTAATATGTAAACAGTAGCACAATTTTTTGGGATGATTTCTTACCATAAGTATTTTACATATACTATACCTTCAGTATTTTCATGAACTGTAAACAGTTCATGTAGCCTGTAAATGTTGCATACTGACTATTTGTTTAAAACATGTTATTCAATGTACTTGAGTTTTTAGCCCCTTGATTTTTATACACAAAACATGTTAACAGAGTGGATTTACGTAAACATTTTCTTAAGCATTACCCAACAATGTAATTTTCAGTATGCTTCATTAATAATATTAACTTTTAAACAGTGATAGGTTTCATATACCTTGCCAGGAATATATGTTTTCAATAACTTGTAATTGTTCATGCTACATGAATTTTGAATATCTATACAGGTTGTTCAAATGAAACATTTTTGTATATACTAGCTTTAAGTTGCACACTGTTTACATTTTGCATACACAGTTTGTCTGTAACTGAGAATATTTTATATTTAATGGTCTTTACTGTTCCCTGTATCAAGGTTCTTCTAATGTTTCCTTTACAGATTATCAGTAACAAAAACTGTTTACTACTTTTGAACTGATTCTGCTACATGCTCTTTTTAAATCTTGTTTATAGTGGTTGATCTGGTGTTAAAAAACCTTGGCATAAAAACTAAGTCATCCACTTTAATGCTCTGTACATGGTTTTGGTCATTTTGACTGACCATGTAAACATTATGAAACTGTATATACTCTAACTTTTAATGCAGTATATCTTCACCAAATCTGGCAAACTTTTAATAAATGTTACAAGTTTTTTGTACATAAAATATCACATATTTTTTATTCAAATGTTTTTATTAAAGATTTATCTGAAGTTATGAAGCCTTTATTGAGTCAGTCCAAGTGCTAGGTGATTTGACGTTAAGGAGAAGAAAAACTTTTGACATCTTTAGGTTTTCATTTTCATAACCTCTAGAACCTTCTAAATGAATACTAAAAGTTTTTTTTCGATAAAACTATATTTTATTTATTTTCTCTACCTAACACTGTATATGAGGCCAGGGGAAGAGAGGGTCCTGGTGGTTGAGTGGTATCTGGGGCACTGCAACACACCACCTTGGCCTTGAATTACTGTAGACAGGTGCCCCCTTCCCCAGGATCAATCGGGTGGTTCTGTTGGGCTAAGGTCAACTGAGTACCAGTGTTAGGTGTTCTCAATGGGAATTGTGGACATTATGTCTGATGCTGGTGTTTGGGTATAGTGCTCACAAAACCCTGGCATTGCTGCAGTATCCTTGTTTGGCATTGTAGTGCATCCTCCCGTAGGACTCCATGGGTCAGTGGTCAATGAATCTTTATCTTTCATTATGGATCCCCCAAAACCTCAAAAAAATATAATCATAAAAAAACAAGCTAATTGGTAAACGATTAATGTCTTGAAGACTAAACAGCAGTTACCACCCCATTCTGCACCTTTACCTCATTTCTTCATCCTGCATTCTTTGTCAGAAAAACTTTTAGGGCAAATGTCTTCCTTTTTTTATTCAGAAGGGATTAGAGGGGCTTGCTGGCTCTCCAAAATCAGTGAAGAAACTACATTCTGGGGACATCTTGTTGGAAACTTCTACACCAAAACACAGTGAACGCCTCTTGAATTTGAAGGCCATTGAGAAATTTGAAGAACATCCCCAAGTCCGAGATACTTGCTGGTTTCTTTAACCAAGGAGTTTCTGCAGTGCGACGTATCTCCACTCATAAAGAAGGAATTATGCTGCCTACCAATGTTCTTATTTTGATGTTTACATTGCTATATCCACCTGCTGCTGTCAAGTACAGCCGTATATTCCCAACCCTCTCAGATGTTTCCAGTGTCAGTGGTTTGGTCAGTCGAAGCATCTCGATGTGGTTCTATGCCATGTGCTTGTTGTGGTGGAAAAGTCTGTCTGCTCTGGTGCCGTCACAGCCATGCCTGTGCCCTATATGGACACCTGTAATGACGGCTTGTCTTCATACCAGTTGGCAATCAATTAGGGTGAGCAACGTCATAACAAGCTTTTCCAGATGAAACCTTCTGTTGTTCTTTGGCCGTCTTATTTCCATAAGGATTGAAAGGAGGAAGTTGTCCTGGCTAGGCTACGCATTGGTCACATGTTTTTAAGTCATTGTTTTCTTTTATCTGGTACTGACCCACCAATATGTAGCCTTTGTGACACTCAAGTCACGATAGCCCACATTTTACTGTTGTGCCGTCATTACAACTATGAGCTCCTACACCATTTTAGACATGTCCTTTCTACGGTTTTACCCCTGACGTTGGACAGTGTATTGGCAATTAGTTCTCTTATTACTACAGCCTTTTGTTACCAACTACTTACGATGTCACAGCATGTTGTCTAACCAGTTATTAAGGCCAGCTTTGTAAATAGCTATAGGCATCATTTAACTTGGAATGTTTGATAGAGTAGATTATAAACTTTTTTGTCACTGTAGATAAAATGAAGTGATTTAAGAATTAACCTGTGGTTTCTCAAGAAATTGACTAGTTTGAGCTCTTGTGGAGGTAGACAAAGGAATATAATGGGAAGTTTAGAAGAACAAACCACAGATATAGAAATTTGTATAGTTACTTATGGTGTTTTTTTTTCTTAAAAATGCTTTTGTGTGAAATTATACAAGTTTAAAAGCTACAGAAACTTTCTTATATTCCAAGATATTTTTAGCAATTAAAGTAGGTGGTGATTAAATGCTCCAGTGACTCAAATCCTTGTTTGATATATCCAGTTGTTAAGTTTATTGTATTTAAATAATGTGCAAATAACAGAACTTATTTGTTTATTAAGAAGAAACTATATTGATTAAACATAATCTGATCTTGACCAAAACTATAGTTAGCAAAAATTACAGTACCTAGTCTAGCAAAGGTAATGTTGATACAGTTTTGAAAGATGAAGTTGTAATGGGTTATAGATAAATCTTTGTGAGATTTGCACTGATTTATTGTGATTTATAGTCAGAAGTGGTCATCTGTTAGTTGGGTTCTATGTGTGGCCCAGTGGATAGCATTTCAGATTGGAGTGAAGGTTCCATGGCTCACATCTTATTACTACCAAAAAAAATTGTAGTGTGTGTTCCATACTTTGGGATTGGGAGTGCATTGTCAGACTGACAGTCAAAATCTCACTGTCTGGTAGTGGGTGGTGTTGACTAACGCAGATAATCCTTATGTAGCTTTGCATAAAATAAATAAAGCATCAATAGAAATATGTGAATGAATATCAATTAACTTGAAAATTGACTACGTATATAGATTAACTTTTCGATTAACAATTAAGAAATAAATTCTAAGACTAAAGGAATATTTTAATTTTTTTTAACTCTCATAAACAATTTGGAAACTTATCAATCTTAAAAATGATAGAAATACATAATTAAGTTGCATGAATTTTTTAAAGGCATGAGGAGATACTATTTGCTAAGTTTTTACTAATTTAAATGCAACTTGGTTAGGGCGCTCGACTCGCTATCTAGGGTCAAAGTTTCGAATCCCCATCATACCAAACATACTTGCCCTTTCAGCTGTGGGGTGTTATAAATGATGGTCAATCCCACTATTCGTTGGTAAAAGAGTAGCCCAAGAGTTGGCAGTGGGTGGTGATGACTAGCTGCCTTCCCTCCAGTCTTACGCTGCTAAATTAGGGACGGCTAGCGCAGATAAACTTCGTGTAGCTTTCCACAAAATTCAAAACAAACAAGCCACTTGGTTAAGCATTTTCACCATGAAAAGTAAAAAAAAGGGTATTGATGATACCATTTGGTCTCAGAAAGGGTTAATTTGACAAATAAAAAAAAATTACTTTTGTTTTAAATCCAGATGAAAGAAGAACATTAAGCTGGTGACATTATGTTTTGCTAATTAAGATGATAGTATTTCTGTGTGACTTGAACAGAATCATTCACTTCAGACAAACTAAAACTGATGTAATAGTTTGTGTGAAATCTTGTCAGCTAGTTTACATAATTATGATTCATATGTAACAAAATTCTTGTTCTAACAAATCTTGAGTGAGGGTTACAATAAATCCAAGAAATGAAATATTTACTACAAAAAGACAATCCTCACTTTTAATATCTGAATTTACTGTTACAGCAATATGCTAATTATTGATTATTAGATTTTGTTTTGCTTCAAACTTTGTTTGAAATAAAATGTTAAATTAACTTGTATATATATTAATAGACAGCCTATCTTGTTGATAATAAATCTTAAAGATGAACAGTTTTTAAGTAAGTGAAATACTACATAAATGATGAACAATGACTTATTAACATTTAGCAAGATAATCACAGACTATTGTTTCTCCTTGTTAACCAAAAAGAATGAAAAACTAAACAAATGAACTGTAGTCATACAAAAATTAGTTTTTTCAAACATCATTTTAGATGGAAGAAGAGTTAAAGAGGCAAAGAGAACTAGCAATGTTTAAAGCCAGACCTGCAGAAGTACTTCACAGGGAACCTTTTGTACCAGTAAAGGCAGAAAAAGCACCAATTGGTGAGTTTCAAATGTAATACACTAAAATTGAAAGTGTTGACAGATGAGGTTATTTAGTTTTTGCTGCCATTTTTATAGATAAATAACTCTTCCAGTGCCAGGTTTATTTTTAGATCCAAAAATATTCTCACATTTTTAATATTTCATTACTAATATCTGAAACTGGTAAACTTTGGGTAGCTTCAAAGGGAATAACCTTTTGTTTATATTTGTATAAAATTTAAAATTCTATGACAGTGCTCTAGAGGAGGGGACATATGTGCTTATTGCAACAAAAGTTAAAACTGTACGAAACAGGTTAAATAAGAGAGGAGACTAGGAAATGGATACTTGAATTGTGACTTAAACGTTAAAAAATTGATTAAATACTAATGGTTATTGAAACTGATTAGAAAGAGAGAAAACTAGCAAATGAGTTCATGTAATCTCTTATAAATCATTTAAAAAATGGGTACATATTGATGGATGAAGTTATCTAAACTGCTCAAAATATGAAGTATTTAGTGTACTATTAAAACTGATAAGCTGTTTAAAGTTGCCAAGTGGACATTGATAAATGATGATGTTTAAAGTGATGATCAACTATATAAAATTTTCTGTGTTTGTAGATCATAACTAGAATATTGTTAAGATAATTGAATTAGTAGTATTATTTTCAGAAGTTTCTCTTAGATTTTTGTAGTTCAGCATTTGTAAATTATGAAAGCATGTGGTAATAAAGGTGAAAAATCAATCCATATATATATAATATAAAATGCATTTGTATTCTACACCATAGAGTGTGAAGAAATAAACCTACACACTGAGCAAAGAGCTGAAGAGAGAGAAAAATTTGAAGTTTGGAAGCATCAACGGGAGACAGAATTGGCTGCAAAACTTCAGAAGAAAAGAGAGCAGGAGGAAAAGGAAGAGAAGAAGGCTATAGCTCGCACACGTGCTGAAGCAGTTCACAAAGCACAGCCAGTAAGGCAGTTCAATACAGTTATCATCAGGCCTAGTGAGAGAGGTTTAACTAATCCTAAATCACCTGTTTTTGCCACAAAATTAAGGGCACGCAACAATACTAGCATTCTACACTGAAGATATATTAGGTATTTTCTAAATTGCTCAGTCCAAACCATTCCCTCTCATGGGTATCCTTCAGCAGAAGTTCTGGTGATGTCAAAGATTTCTTATTGTCATTTAAGAGTCAGAAGATGTTGTTTATCTGTGGTACTATTAACAGCTTTGATATGTTTGCTGATTTATTAGAGAAAGTCACACTTACATACTTGTTTCTTTATGTAGTATTTTTAGAACTGTTTAATGATTTGCATCAGCAGATCTGTTTATTTCTCTCCTTACCAATGGGTTTGTTTGAATGAAAATTGTCAGGTGATTCTCAAAAGAAGCACCTAGTGATAAAACAAAAGTCTACATTATATTGGCAGACATAAAGTGGCTTAGGTACCAAATGACAAATATTTTTTGTACAGTTGGATTTTTAAAGGATATTTTATGTATGAGGAATTTGAATGGTTTTCTAATATCAGAACCAAAAATAACAAGACATTTCACACTTCCAAAAAAAGAAAGAAATTAGCTGATGGTATTTTATAGTTCCATGTTAAAATAAATGTTATATAAAACTTGTATATATAGTTGGTACACTGGTAATAGATATTATTTCATAATAATGCCTTGTTTAGACCATGTGTATGTGTAGACACTAAAATGAACAGGTCAGGTTATGAAAAGGTTCATATGTAAAAGGAAGAAGATGTGACTTCTTTATGATATTACACTATGAATATTATGTTTTTTGTATTTTAAATGAAGAGAAGCTCTACATTATTCTCTTGGTAATTGTTTGCATTTGTTGAGAAACACTGAATTTCAGTTGATGTCTCAAGGCTCTTGTACCCATCATTTAATGTGAATTTTGTAAAATTTCTAATATTTTCTTGTCTGACTCGTATCATGTATCAGTATGTCGTTTGTTTTGCAATAGTATTTGCTGGAAATTGAATTTATTGGATTCCATTTTCTGGTAGTCCATCCTAGAATAAATTAAACATCTTCAGGAGATTGTCTTCTAGTAATTCTATCCACAATTTCACTCACTACATTATTCAGAAGAACTGCAAATGAAAAGTGGTGTTAATTAACAAATTATTCCACTGAGGAAAAATTGTAATTTTTGTGCATGTATGAAAATATTAACACAGTAGAAGAAACTGAGATAAGTTGTGAAGCTACTGTAATATTTGTATTTTCAGATTTTGCATTAATAAATTGCTCTATGTGACTCTCCAGTTCTTTAAAAATTTAATAAAAACATACACATTCTAACTACATGAATCAATTATGAAATACTAGACCCACAATGAAAAACACCCCCTGTTCACCGACACTTCTACATAATTATTATGTCATTATTAATAATCTTGTTGCTGAACCCATGTCATTCAGCTTTTGTTTTTATCTGTCAATCAACATTTCTTTTATACATAAACTCTTCTCATTAGATACTCTAGCAAAAATTTTAAACATACTGTATGTATGACAGTATTATACTCACAAACTTAGATTTATTGTCTTAAATCTGCATGATCCATTGTCCGTGTTTCTGATCATCTGGTTACAGAAACATTTAAGTGCATACAAGCCTATTAAATGATTTAATCACTTTAATTGTTTATATTGAAGATATGTTCTCCGTATGGGGTTATATTATAGATTTTTGTTTTGGAATATCAAATAATAGGTGTTCAATATAATTAAACTTGTGTAAATTATCATGTGTGATGCTATCATATGATTGGGGAAACCATTTTTACATTGAAACATTAATATTTTATAGGTACGATGAATTAATATTTTAACTAGATTTACTTTAAGTAACTCGGAAAGTGATTATTAAAATACAAACCTGTAAACTATTCTTATGATACTCTCTTTACATTCAAACTAATTTTTATTGTGTGTCAATGTATCAAGGAAAACAAGCTGATGTTCCGCGGTAAATCTTAGATTTCTGTCGATTTTTTTAATTGTCTAAACTCGTGTGAAGAATTATTAGTGACAGATGTATTACCAACATATCTCCGGAAGCATTGGATGGATAATTTCTAACCATTGATTTTCATAATGGCTATAGATGGGGCTAAGTTTGATCCATTGCCTTTCCATAAGTTTAATCATGTATATTTGTATGGAATAATAAATAAGTAATAATTTCCGGAAATCTTATTGTTCCTTCGTTCAGATATAGTAGGTTACCTGTTCATTGTAAAGTCTCTTCTAAAGGAATATTGGCGTACAAAAACATCTACGTCATAACTTAGAAATAGACATTGTTATTAACTGTAAGTTGTTTATTTTATTAGAAATGTAACGTCCCAAATATTTAACCAAAAACCGTATAATTTATAATCATATGTATCTTGTGTTAGAGACAATAGGTCTAATTTGGACAATTTGTGTATTTTAGGCTATATCAATGAATATTCTTTTGTTACTGAATTGTATTTTCTAAATGTTATAAATAATTCAATAGTTTTGTTTTTGTGTGATCGTTTTCTAACATCAAAACTGTGTATTATCACATGTAGTTACTTATTCGTAAGGAAACTTCAATTACTTTCGTCTGGTTGAAATATATCTTTTATCGTTTTTACATGGTTGTATTATATTAACTAGGATTATATGCCTTATACCCAGGATTATGAACATTGAATTATGATACAGCTATTCTACTTATTTGAATATAATACTTTTAAACGATTCATTATTTTTGTTCCAAATTTTTTTAAGAAATTGTCAAAAAGCAGCGAATAATCCTCAAATTCTGTTTTTACAGGTGAATTGTAATTTATTTTATTAATCGACTACATTTATCCATTTTTTTTGTCTAACTTTTAATTATCAATATTATGTTGCATGTTAATGAAGTTAGTAAGGTGTATATATTTTACATAATTCACTTGTATTTTTAAATATAAAGAGTCCTCTTCAAATTGTTTTATTGAATGTATATTTATAGATTTAAAATGTGCTTTTGTATTGATCGATATAACTTTTCATTATAATTAATGGTCAACCACATTTTTAAGTTGTGCCACGTCACACACACACCAATTCATGCGCTTATACATTCACACACGTTTAGATCGCACAATAAATATGGTTCCTTTTTGAAAAAGTGTCATTGAAAGTACTTCTAATGCTCAAACATAATTCTTACATCATTAATAATCTATAATAATATTGGTGTAACTCATCTGGTTTTAATTTGATCAGTATTTCTATTATTCGTGAACTCTCTTTGTGTCGTCCTCTAGCGGAGAATTAAAAAACAAACAAAGAGTAATAGTGTTTCACCATATTTTACAAAATCTGAAAGATTGCACTTAAAATACGATAAACTATATCACAGCTTTTGAATGATTGTTTAATCTATAATTTTGTGCCGAAATTTCTTAATTTCAAAGTAGCAATATAACATTTTCACAAATTTAGAGAGTCTGTGTATACTTAAAATCAGATTTTTTGTTTGTTTGTTTATGGATAGTTTCTTTTTAACAATTTAAAGTTAAAATTACCATTACAAAAGTTTAAGACTGAGTGAATTATTCATGTTCAATTCCGGATTCCCAAATTGAGTGGATTTAAAAGGATTTTACTTGACCTAAATGATACTGTCGTGAATTTGGACAGAAAATGTTTAGTGTTTTCTATATAGATTACATTGCAGTTAGTACACGTTTATTTATAGACAATTCTGTTTGTTTCTTGGACTTCACACAAAACTACACGATGGCCATCTGTGCTGGCTGTTCCTAATTTGGAATTGATAAAGTACAGCAAAGGCAACTAACTAGTCGGCCAGGTGGTTAGGGCGCTCGTCTCGCAATCAGCGGGTCGGGGGTTAGCACATCCTTTCAGCCGTGGGGGCGTTATAATGTGACGGTCAATCCCACTATTCGTTGGTAAAAAAAGTTGGCGGTGGATGGTGATGACTAG